TTTCCGTATGAGTCTTAGTATCAGACAGACTTCCTGTATGAGTCTCAGTACGTCAGTCAGACTTTCCGTTTGAGTCTCAGTGTGTCAGTCAGACTTTCCGTATGAGTCTCAGTATCAGACAGACTTCCTGTATGAGTCTCAGTACGTCAGTCAGACTTTCCGTTTGAGTCTCAGTGTGTCAGTCAGACTTTCCGTATGAGTCTCAGTACGTCAGTCAGACTATCCGTATGAGCCTCAGTGTGTCAGTCAGACTTTCTGTCTGAGTCTCGGTGTCAGACAGACTTCCTGTATGAGTCTCAGTGTGTCAGTCAGACTTTCTGTATGAGTCTCAGTGTGTCAGTCTACTCTACCATGACTCTGTTTTCCCCATTGTGAGACCTAACGCTGTAATTTTACTTTTGCAGAGTTTTTTGTTCAGTACGAGGATGCACTTCATCACCCCGGTGTCTGGAAAAATCTGACCGAAGTCCCGGGGAGCAAAACCACAGCCCAGCTGAAGCTCTCCCCTTACGTCCACTACACCTTCAGGGTGCTGGCTGCCAATGCGGTGGGCTTCAGCCTGCCCAGCCTGCCATCGCAGCAGTACAGGACTGACGCTGCAGGCAAGCGGGCGCCAACCATCCGCATGCGAACGTTCTGCGTCGGGATGCCATGCCGTATGAGTCTCATATTCATCTTCCTGTGTCTAGCTCCTGATGAAAACCCTTCAATGGTGGAAGCGGCTGGAGCTGAGCATAATAATCTAGTGATATCATGGACGGTAAGACATGAGCTGGAGATTATGTTGCATTTAAATTCACATGGATAAAACTTCTGGCTTAATTGCCTTCATCTGCATAGCACATTTTATCACCAAATTATCTGCTCTGAATTTATTCATAGTCTGTTCTACATAAACTGCATTTTTTTCTGGACTGCAGCCCTTGACAGGCTTGCAGTCCAATGGGCCGGGTCTCCAGTACAAGGTCAGCTGGATGCAGCAGGACGTCGACAAGGACTGGACGTCGGTGACAGTGGCTAATGTGTCTAAGTTCGTGGTGTCGGGGACGCCCACGTTCGTCCCGTACGAGGTGAAGGTGCAAGCCGTGAACGACTATGGAAGCGCCCCAGAGCCAGAGGTGGTGCTGGGCTACTCCGGAG